CGAACGAACGATTAAGATTCCTCTTCTGATTCTCCGGCCGGAACAAATCGCTACGGAGATTTCTGAAGACAGCCATTGATGACCAGCGAAAATGCATGGGTCTCCGTCTCTGGGTGATGGATCATTGATTAGTGCTGGACGGAGGTAAAGCGTGCTTGACAAACTGTGAAAAGGGAGACGCGAAAGAAAGGGCGCTCCATTGCGGTGCTTTTTTAGGGGGACGTGTGTTGGTTGCGCGATTGACCGGGCGCGCCGGGCGAAAGGCGCGGCCACTACCACCGGCACCGCGCGTGATGGCCGCGCGCGTCGGCACGCCGAGCCGAGGCCTCGATTGCCTGGCCGGCCAACTCTGACGTTGCCTAGCACTGGGAAAAGAAAGGCGTGGGGATTAGTGTATTAAACAGACGCGCGCGGTCCAACTAATCACCAGCTTAGACTACTCCACCAGTCCCAAAATAAGTAGACTTGTAGAGTGTATGCAAAGAGATAAAAGATAATAAGAAATTACATATATGCTCCTATAAAAATGTAATTATTACATCTTGAGAAGAGAGAAAGTATAAAAAGACAAGTAAAGTTAGTTTGTCTTATATATAGAGGTGTACTTATTTGTTTTAAAAAAAATCAAATTCTAGAAGTGCATTTATTATGGAACGGAGGAAGCATGTTGTGTTGTATTCCTCGTTTGGCTAAAAAAAAAATGTTCGCTACTCCCTCCGTCCATAATTACGTTTTTTCTAAGGAGGGAGTAGCCGGCAAGAGAGCACGCGAGAGACGGACAAAATGCATGTAGCAGCGTTTGTCACTGTTTCTCCGGCGGCAACCTTACCAACTCCACCACTATCCTTTGGACTCGTCCCTAAGGCTGGCCACCGGCCGCCGTCGGAGCTCTGCTCTGCTCTGCTTCACTCGTCGACTTCGTTTCTATTTGGTCCTAAAGTATTTCACAAAGATCATCTACTACATTAGATAGAAAAATCATAAAGGAGAAGCAGAGCAACACTAGTATGAATCTGCTAGCGTCGCCTTCGTCTCCCTTCTTCCCCTCGGCCAGCAAACAAGACAACGTATTAAAAGGCCGGCCCCAGCCCCAGTCGGAGACATTTTGGCCCAACACGTAGCATCATAGATAGATGGGCTTCGCGCTTTGCTATCACCTCACGCATCGCATTTGAGGCCGTGACCGTCGCTTGCACCAGTGACAAGATCATGGGAAAAATCGACGACCCTAGTAGGGCCTTGTTTACATTACAAGTTTTTTCACTCTCCTCATTACATCAAATATTTGAACACATGCATGGAGTATTAAATATAAATAAAAAAATAACTAATTACATAGTTTGATTGTAAATTACGAGTCAAATCTTTTGAGCCTAGTTAGGCCATAATTGAACAATAATTATCAAATACAGACGAAAATGCTACAATATCAAATACTGATTACTAACCCCAGTTTAAACGAGGCCTAGAGTCGTATATATAGACATCAAAGGGTGGAGAGACATGCATGCCTCTAAACTCTAAAGGCTATCTCTAATCAAACCAACCCTAGTCGACCCTAGCGATTAATGTCATTCGACGCACTGCCGCCGCCGCCGCCGTTCGGGAGCCGATAATATAAGCACAGATCGAGATCGAGATGGCGATGGCGATGGCGACGTACAATGACATTCCCGGACCAGCACTGTCGCTTCATCAACCTCGTAGGCGGCGCCTTCTTGGTCGGCGCAGGTTGCGGCTCTGCTTTGCACTTCATCAGGGGGTTCCGCAGTTCGCCCAACGGTGGACTTCTCGCGGCCGCCATCCGTGCTGCCTGCACGAACGCGCCTCGCGTGTCCATGGCCGTACTCTGCGCCTTCGACCGACCGCGAGATGCGAATGAAGGCCGGGTTGCCAGCGCTGGTACCATCAGGCGTATTATCAATTATCACCCCTATGCCGAGCGGTTCACGGCGGCTCCGTGGAGTAGAGGTCAAAATGTTTTTTTCCCTTCGTTTTGCTATTGTTCCTTGAATTATTCTAGCTTTAGTTCTCTTATATGTTGAATTTGGATTTCGATACTTAGTATGAACATAGATTTGAGTTGGTCCCTCCTTTCTTCTTCTGATTCACCATCCAACCTAAATGTGTACATACAAAGTGTTAAATGTTTCTCCTTGTTCCCTAGAGAGTACATCCAGGGACGGAGTTAACGGCAGGGCAGGGCAGGGCGGGCTCGAGCCCCTCCTACGGCTCCCAGGCACGTGGAGCTGAAAGGGTCGAGATGACGGACTAGAGGAGGGGTGAATGGTCTTTTCTAAAATTAATCGCGTCGGCTAACCGATATAAATGCGGAATTAAAACAATCGGTCTAGCCAAGACTACACCCCTCTATATATGCTCACTAGCACCTTGCAAAGATACTAATTATGCAACTAAGGTGCCGGGCTAGCTAGAGCTCTCCTAAACAATTCTAGGAGCAAGGTCACACAAACCTATGCCACTATTACTTTAAGTAACAAGGGAGCTCCTACACATGCTAGTAAGCAAAAGCACAAAGCTAACTAAGCTCACTAGCAATGCTCAATAACAAGACAACCAACGCCTAATTAGAGAGCGCAAATACTTAGCTATACAAACTAAGCAATGTGACTAACAAGGTTACTAAAACCAAATTAGCCACGCAAGGGAGCTACTTCTATGCTACACAAGCAAGAAGGTAATTAGCTAGCTACACAAGCCATCTAATTACAAGAGCAACTACACAAGCTTAAGATATATATATATAAGTAATTGCAAGCTTGTGTAATGGGGATGCAAACCAACGGGAAGAACAAGGTTGACACGATGATTTTTCTCCCGAGGTTCACGTGTTTGCCAACACGCTAGTCCCCGTTGTGTCGACCGCTCACTTGGTGGTTCGGCGGCTAATTAGCATCACCCGCTAAGCCCGCACGTCGGGCATCGCAAGAACCTACCCCTTGAGTGAGGGTAGCTCAATGACACGCTTTACTAAAGTTGCTCTTTGTGACTCCCGCGGGGCGAGCACAAGTACCCCTCACAAGCACTTCTCCGAAGCGCCGCACAAGCTTCTTGCGGGCTTCGATGGAGACCACCACCAAGCCGTCTAGGAGGTGGCAACCTCCAAGAGTAACAAGCACCACCGGCTTGCAACACGACCACCTAGTGCCACTCGATGCAACCTCACGATGCAATCGCACTAGAATCGCTCACTCACACAATCGAATGATCACTATCAAGTATATGTGTGATGGAGGGCTCCCAAGCACTCACAAGCATGGACACTAAGTCCCTTGAGGTGCTCAGCACCAGCCATGGCCGATGGCCACTTCTATTTATAGCCCCAAGGGCTAAACTAGCCGTTACCCCTTCACTAGGCAACGGTCGGGCCGACCGGACGCTCCGGTCGTGTTGACCGGACGCTGGACCTCAGCGTCCGGTCGCCCGTAGACGGCCACGTGTCCCGGTTCCAACGGTCACTTGACTTGACCGGACGCAAAGAAGCTAATCGACCGGACGCTGAACCCCAGCGTCCGGTCGTTTCAATAAGAGGTACCGACCTCGACCGGATGCGTCCGGTCACACTTGATCGGACGCAGCCGGCGTCGGTCACACTCCACTTTGCGTCATCGTCGCCCGCTGACTGACGGGACGCGACTGCCAGGCGTCCGGTGCATTCAGATCCAGCGTCCGGTCGGTTGACCGACGCCAAAGATCTTCGCGACTAACTTCGTTTTCACTTCTAACTTCATCACCCTTGCTCCAATGTGCTAACCACAAGAACTTACATCCGCACGCAATAGAAAATAGGCATTCTATTTTTCCGAAAGCGCTTAATCCCTCTCATAAGCTTCGGCGGGGAGAGAGGGACCCAAACCCATCTCACCCCTCGCAAACACCACCTCCTTTGTAAATGTGCCAACACCACCAAGTGTACACCACCATGTGTATGTGTGTTAGCATTTTCACAATCATTTCCCAAAGGATGTTAGCCACTCAACTTGGCACGCCACTCGATCCTAGCGACAATGCAAAGTTAGATCACTCGAGTGGCACTAGATGACCGATATGCAAATAGGTTTGCCCCTCTTGATAGTACGGCCATCTATCCTAAATCCGGTCATAAACTTCTCTACACACCTATGACCGATAAAATGAAATGCCCTAGGTTATACCTTTGCCTTGCGCATTCCATTCCATCTCCTTCAATGTCGATGCAACACATGCACCAACACGATCAACAATGATATGATCCACTTCATATCATCACATGATCATATTGGTTCATCGATCTTGACTCTACTTGCTCTTCACCGTTGCTATCGTCCATCGGCGCCAAGTCTTGCTCAAGCTTCACCGCCACGTGGTCCATCACTCCAAAGCCTTTGACTTGCCCTTCACGCTTGCAACCGGTCCATCAAGCCAAGTCTTGTCTTGATCTTCTCCACCTTGATCACATGACTCAATGTCATGTCTCATGTGCAATAAGCTCCTTCATCATCACATGTGTGAGCTTTGCAACATCTCCAAGTTATTTTCACCTCCATGGCATATGTTGCTCATACACATGTACATGTGGACTAATCACCTGTGTATCTCACACAAACACAATTAGTCCACCTAGGTTGTCACTCAATTACCAAAACCAACAAGGACCTTTCAGGAGCCCCCCCTAAAAATTTCACGTATATATGTATAGAATAGGAGGGGCTGATATGTTTTGGGCCCAATTTTAGGAGGGGCTTATATGTTTTGGGCCCAATTTTATAGAGAATAGGGTATTATTAAGTCAAATCCCAAGGCCCAGTAGCCAATAGTGAATAGTGGAAGAAGGTAAGAAACCCTATCAATCCCACATTCCCACCGTAACCCCTGCCCTTCCCCCGATAGCCGTCGCGAGCCTCCCGTCCCCGACCCCAAACGGACGGCGGCGACTTCCCTGTTCCTTGGTTCTACCGGTGACCGGTCTACCCCGACTCCCTAGTCCCCACACCACGAGGATGGACAGCGGCAGGCGAGCGGACACCGCTACGGCGCGGGCACAGGCCGCGCAGCCTAGCGGCCCGCAACAACGTAAGCAGGCGCACCGCTCTCGGGGACGCGGCGGCCGGCGGAGCAGCCGAGCAGGACATCAGGTGATTTTTCAATTTTAACTGTGAATGTGAGACCAGGAGTCTGTGATTGAAAGGTTGAATGTTTGATTCATGATAGATTTCAATTTTTTGATTTTCAGTATGTCAAAAAGAACTTTGCGCAACTACTATTCAAGTTCAAGTGGCAACGGCTCAACTGCACATATTAATGAGAGCACAAATCAACCCAAGAAACCTAGGGAAGAGTTTAGTCATTCAAACCTAATTGCTGACCCTGGAAAGCGCAAACCAATCGATTCTTATGAACCAGAAATTAGAGACCAAGTAAAGAGAGCATATGCTTTAAGTGGTCCAACCCAACCTCATGAATTTCCATTTCCTCGTAAATGTATGGGTGGTGAATGGAGATCATTTCAAAAGACTTGGTTTGATGAATTTAATTGGCTGGAGTATAGTGAGTCCAAGGATGTTGCTTATTGCTTATATTGCTATCTCTTCTTTAATTTGGCAAAGGCTGGAAAATTTAGAAGTACTGTCTTTGCACATCAAGGTTATGTGAATTGGAAGAACACTAAGGATACTTTTCATAAGCACGGTGTTTGCAAGACTCGTGCAGAGGCTAGACTGAAGTGTGACGACTTTATGAACCAAAGGACAAGTGTTAGTCGAAAATTAGTTGAGGTAAGCATAGAGGAAGAAAAACGATATGAGATTCGTTTGACATCTTCTTTAGATGTTGCAAGATTTCTCATATCGCAAGGGGAACCTTTTCATGGAGATGATGAGAGTTCTACTTCTCTCAATAAGGGTACATTTAGAGAGATGATTGACTGGTATAAAGATAAGGTAGATATAGTGAAGGACGCATATGACAAAGGTTCTAAAAATTGCCAGATGGTATCTCTTGATATACAAAAGGATCTTGCAAAAGCTTGTGCAGAGGAAGTCACAACTGTCATTATGGATGAGATTCGAGGTAGAAAATTCTCGGTGCTTATTGATGAGTCTAGAGATGTATCAATAAAAGAGCAAATAACAGTAATTCTAAGGTTAGTACTCCACAATTGCAATTTGTGCATAGATTTTATTATAATTATTTCTACAATTATACTAACACATGAACAAATGTGCCGTGCAGGTTTGTGAATGATAAAGGGCAAGTGGTGGAGAGATTTCTTGGACTTCAGCATGTTCAGAGTTGTACAACTATTGTATTGAAAGAAGCTTTGGTTAGTATGCTTTCAAGTCACAATTTGTCAATCTCTATACTTCGTGGGCAAGGGTACGATGGAGTTTCTAATATGAGAGGTGAATTTAATGGGGTGCAGAAATTAATTCGTGATGAAAATCCTTATGCTTTCTATGTGCATTGTTTTGCCCATCAATTACAACTAGTGATTGTTACTGTTTTGACTTCTAGTGTAGACATTGCAGATTTCTTTAACTATGTTCCTTTAATAGTCAGTAATGTGGGTGCATCTTGTATGAGAAAAGATGCCTTGCTTGCAAAGCATCACGATGTATTGCTAGAAAAGATTGAGAAGGGTGAGATTATGACTAGAAGAGGTTTAAATCAAGAAAGTAGCCTAGTTAGGCCAGGAGATACTAGATGGGGTTCACATCTTAAAACTTTGCTTCGCATTTTGGTGATGTGGGAGGCTATCATAGATGTGCTTGAGATAATGAAGAAAGACTCCATTAAACCAATAAATAATGGTGGAGCTTTAGGTTTAATTGGGAAAATGGAGAACTTTGATTTTGTGTTCATCCTACATTTGATGATAGAATTGTTGAGCATGATAGATATTTTATCACGTGCTTTGCAAAGGAAGGATCAAGACATAGTTGAAGCAATGCATTTGATCACGGATGTGAAAGATAGCTTATAGGATATGAGGGAAAATTGATGGGAGCCATTACTCAAAAAAGTGAAAACATTCTGTGAGAAGAATGAGACTGAAGTGCAAGATGTGGATAAGGAAATAAATGTTAGATGTACATCTAGACGAAGAAAGCAAAAGGTAACAAACATGCATTGCTATCATGTCGAGATCTTTCTTGTCGCCATTGATGCCATCTTGACTGAGCTGAATCATCGGTCCAGTGAAATTAGTTCAGAGTTATTAGTATGTAGGCTGCTTTTAACCCAAGGAACTCCTTCTCTAATTTTGATGTGGACAAACTTATGAGGCTTGCTGAAATTTATGCCGAGGATTTTGATATTGGTGAGCTTGCTGTTTTGCCCAGCCATCTTAGACAGTTTGTCAACCGTGCTAGAAGAACTCCAGAATTTCTTGGATGCAATGAACTTGGAAAAGTTGCTGAAATTATGGTCAAGACTAATATGAACACATCTTATAAATTGGTTTATCGTCTCATTGAGCTAATCTTGATACTACCGGTGGCAACGACTTCAGTTAAGAGGATATTTTCAGCCATGTCTATTATAAAGGCATATTTGCGTAGTAAAATGGGTGATGGATGGCTCAATGACTTATGATATGCTATAATGAGAAGGAGATATTTAGAAAGATTGATAATGAAAAGATCAAAAAGCGGTTTCAAGAGATGAAAAAGCGTCGTATCTTATTGCTTAAAAAATTAGTGGTACGATCTATTATCTTCTAAATTCATAATTTAGAGGTCCATATATATGTTTGACTAATCAATTTTGTCTATCTCTGTAGATTGCTACTTCAGATGAATAATGTGTCAACATCAGGAGCCGTTTATTAGCTTCGTAATTGGACCTTTTGGTACGAATGAACGGCATCCTTTGTTTTTCATGATGTACTTTGTGAATTTCATCGTTAATCGATGTTTCAAATATAAGATTACTTTAAGCTATTATATATTTGTCTATTGTGAGTGGTCATAGTAGAGCTAAGTCGTTGTAGAACTTTTGTTCAGCCCCCTCTCCTAAATTTTTTTCTGGCTTCGTCCCTGAGTACATCATCTCTCTATCCAATATTTTTTTAGGTGAGTAAAATGCATCGGAGGTCCATTAACTTTCGTTGAGGTGTCATATAGGTCCATCAACTTTGAAACTGTATTTTTTTGTCAATAAACTTTAAAAATGATTTCCATACCTATTTATTTAACCTTAAATCCAACGTATATTTACAGAAAACCCCCTACCGAGTCTTTTGGTGGCACACTGGCACTGTTCATGACAAATAAATTATGTGCATGCATTGGTTCAGATGCATCCAATCTGTGTTTAAAAGGACAATGTGCCAAGTTAGATCAACTATATTTTTGCATTTACGGACTTGCGAGCATATTCAGATGTGGCCTTGTGAGCAGGCCTCAGGCGCAAAAAGATATATCAGCATCCCCTCGCCCAACAAGGACTTTATAGAATCAATAGTGGATTGCTTTTTGTCATAAAAATAATAGCATATATTTTTTGTATTACATGTTGATATTTGGTGCTCGTAAGTTTGCTTCAATGCTGATTTGTTACATTTACCTCAAGGATATATTCATCAACGCACTTAAATCATCATTCCAAAAAAAAATGCACATAATCATTTAGAACTTAAATAGTTGTGTACCAATGCATAAAAGGAGTTCCATTTATGCCAATTGAACATATTGCTCAAATTTCTCCTCCTAAATTCATATTTGAATTTTTAGTAACCCTTGATAAGGAGAAATTGTACTATGGTTGAAGGAATTTAGACCATTGGTGAAGGATGAATGGATGGCTAGAAAAACAAAGGTACTAAGGGGGAATGCACCGCCAGGCGAGGCACTAGGTGTGTACTAAATTGGTGGGACCAGCACCAAAAAAATTATATTCTTATTATTTTTTACATTTTTATGTAATTAAGGGTAAAATGGTAAATTTATATTAGAACTATAATATTTTGAGTAGTATAGTTCCGATGGATTATTAGAGTAGTATAGTTAGAAGGATATCTTCTTCTTGTCACCACACCAACCTTGCCCTCTCTGTTCTTCACTCCAGCTCCACCCCTCCCCGTTCATGGCTTCAGCTACGGCCACACCCACCCCAAAATTTTCGCCGCTCATGGCAACAGCTCCCTCAAGCACGCAGCTGCAGCGGCGTGCGAGGGTGAGGACAAGAGCGAGGGCGAGGGTGGCGGCAATGGTGGTTGTAGCAGAGAAGGTGAAATTGTGTCATCGCTGGCTCCAGGTGAAGGCTGCTTCCCATCTGCATTTGATCGGTGTGTCATTATGTGTCGAATCGTTGAGTGTTGCATAGGAGTGTTGAACTTTAGCTGGTGGGTGCGATTATCACACGAGGAGGCAAATTGAGTAGGAAGGTGAAACTATAATGCCATGAATGTGTCTGTCGGCAGGTGAAATTGACTAGGTGTAGCACACACTCAAAATATTGTCTAGTGCTTCAGGACCTACCTTTTTTCTTTTAGGAATTTGTTGGAATACACACAAAAATTTGAATGTGCCTCCTGCAATGCAATGATAATGACCTGCTGATAGCAGTGAATGTAGTTCTTAGCCTGTTGTTTACATTTGAAGGTTTATCTAGTCGATACTTCCTTAGGGTATTCCCTGGTAATAGAAATAGCTGCATTATGCACAATTTGAAATTCTCTGCCTAAGCAAGATAGCGGCAGAACCCTACTCGTAAAGAAGCAGGTACTACTAACAGGATCATGTAATGTTTAAGCTTCTGCAACATTTTAGCTATTGAGTGGTGCTAGATGCAACACATTTAGCGGGTATAACAGGGTAAACTCATCTATCTTAACACATGTTAAAACTGGTAACGTTTCACCTGTGTACAACAACCAAAGACGGTATTGCTCAATGTCATGGCACAGTGCACACAATTACAAAACTACAGCCCAGTTAGAAATAACGTTTCAGGAGCTAAGTCATCTTCTTCCTTTCCTCTCTGTTTGTTTTAGATCGGATCGGCAACGCAGCCATGGCGGCGAGCCATCCCACAAATCACAGTTTATAAGATTGATTAATAATAGGTGATATCACGAAAAACAGAGGCAGATATGTAAGAAAGGATTTGGGGATCTACGTGGCAGAACCGTCCAAAATAACACGCTTTCGGAGACGCTAGTCTTCCACTAGACACTAGCACCTCGAAAGTGAGCTACATCGAACAGTTCCGTCGAGCACACCCCAAGGAAGAACTCGAAACAATTCACGTTTTACATCCATAATCCAATAATGAGTACGAGCTTACAATACTTAGTCCATTTCATATAACAAGAGTTCTTGGAAATTATTTATTACAATACCAGAGTTCAGAGTGAGATAATTAAACAACGGAATAAAAATAAACATCTAGCGGAAATGATACAAGGATCCGTCTGTGCCCACCAGAAGAATACTCCACACAAGAGCTACTCCTCAAGCTGCACCTGCAACAGGGGTAAAATAAACCCTGAGTACATAATGTACTTGCAAGACTTACCCGACTAGTGGGAATAGTTTATCGACTCTCAAGGATATGATACGCAATATGGGTTTGCTATTTTTTTTTTGTTTACGGAAAACATCACTAATAGTTCATCCTTACAATCAAGTTTTATTAGCAGTCATGATTACTTCATTAGCTAACCATTGTAGGTAAGCACGTGTTCTATTTTCAAGCAAGGGTTAAGTAATCAGAACCATGTCACCATCTTTCATCTTCCAGTTCTTACTACGGTGCTAGACCATAGCCAAGTCGTACCGTCTCACGAAAACGACGATTCACGAACCAATGTATCACAGCTGGGTACCCCGAAACACACACCCTATTTGTACCCCAGCTACAAACAAGACCAACCCATTCCACTCCTGTCATGGGGTCCAGGCCCTCGTCCAAACTTGGACTCCAAGCCCCCACACTTGAGACCCGGTCTCAATATGGTGCTTAGACCTCCACCTTTCCCCGCATCTAATCAGTCGGTCCGAAAAGAGCCGGAACCCACGACAAGAGCGTAACGAGCATTCCTGCTCCCATAAGCAAGTATGTGCTTAGGATAATAAGTTTGTGACCTGACTACCATCCACAGCAACGGACGGTCCTTAATCGACACGAACAGGGAAAACAGTGTAACCAAGCTAAGCCCCGTTGGTCACGGGACATAACCTGTTACACCCACCAATACCCATACCATATCCCTGCACTATCTCTATTTTTCCTTTTATCATTTTATTATGAGAGTAATAATAATCTCCTATTGTGGGCAACGGCAGGTTACTCACGCTACCGATGACCTAAGCATAGCATCTACTCGAACCTACACTAGTAAGATTCTTAGGATAGGTATATCTATGCATGTGGTTTCCATAAAATTCCTGTAACATAAATCCACAACACATATATATACGGTGAATTATAAAATAGAGGTTATGCACCGGGGTTTACCTTGGGCAGGCGCGGTGTCAGCTGAGTCAATCAGTGGCGGCTCCGGGACCTCCTCCTGCACGAGAATCTCCCCCTCATACTCCTCGACGATATCCTTGAACTCGTGATCGCCGGTGGTCACGATTTCCGCCAACTCGTTCTCTACATGCATGCGATGATGATGTAACACTTAGTATTTAGGCAACAACAACTCTTAAAATAAAAATACGCATACTAAGCTACTAAGATAGCTCTAACAAGTAAGATATTAATCTAACTATCATTTTCATCAAGCAAAGTGTTGGGTTCAACTAACAAACCCTTAGCTTGGTAATTTAAGGATATATATTTATTTCTACTAGTGATTTAATGTATATTGAAACAAAGAGCATTTAACTACCCTAATGCTTAGTCTATTCTAAAGCTACAAAAATTACAGTGAGCACATAATAATACAATGAAATTGCTGTAAAAATTTTAGGATCAAAACTATCATCAATTCACCACAAAAATTCCTACAATAATTAACTTAATATTATGAAG